CCCACTCAAAGTGGATAATTGCTGGGGCATGTGCAGTCCTGCACCACGTGCCCTGGGTTGGGGGGAAGGGGGGACCTTGATATGCCTCGTGCCCACAAGCTCAACCCAGGCAGCTCCCACTGGCTTGCTCATGTTGCAGGTGTCCATCACAGTGCCTAATTACAACTGAAACTAGAGGAAGTATAACACAAGAGAACACGCTAACTACGATCATTTGAAATGACAGCACACAATTTCTGACAACAAAGCCTTTCCGCTGAATCCCCATATGTGCTGTGCAAAGGTGAGATGATTACAATTTGCAATAGATTCCCATTTGTCAGTGGAGGGAGGGAGAAAGCACTTAAGCTCAGTTCTTCTCTCAGTTACACAGCTGTGAATTCAAACCACAGAAATGCATTGAAGTCAATGCAATTATTTTGCATTTCTACAGGTGTAAACAAGACCAGCAGTTGGTTTAGGCTAATATCATTTTTTTGCTGTCTGTGCTGAGTAAAATTATAGCTATTGTTTTTTATAACAATGGATTTGACCCCACAGACTGAACAGCAGCCCCTTAGTCATGATTTTCTATTCTTGTTGTGCTTGGTAGCTCATGGAGGCACTAGAGAGGCATCTAGGAGTAGCCTGGTGGTATTGTGAGTGACTAGTACTAAATCTGAATGTTAAAAAGCTCTGTTATTTTCAACAAGCAACAGTTCCCACACCAGTATCTTTTTGACAATAAAGGCCAAATAGGAGTCTTACTCTTTTATTTTTCTAGTTACTGAATTGTATTCAATTGCATTTACAATTCCAGAACTATTACAGTTAAATTGCTTGTACTCAAAGACTCCATTGCCTTGCAATTATCTGAATATTAAAAATAGTTAAAAGGCAAAAATATCCACACCACTACTTGTTTGTACTAATCTATGTGCCTATGTTGTATTTCTTCAAACATAGACTAATAATTTTGCATTTCACAATAGACACAATTTACAATGGATACAATGTTTTTATGTATGATGGATAAAATTTGCTGTCAGTCTTTACTTTTGAATCAGATTTAGAAGATTGAAACTAAAGAATCATGAGCCAATACAATCAAAACATCTTCCTTTTTCTCTTACTAAAGAGCCTGATTTTCATATATTCCAAGTCCCCTTTAAACTGCTCTATGTGTTTACACCCTTCTTTATACCACCAGTGAGTCTTACAAGGGCCTCTACTGTAAATAAGAATCAGCCCTGCCAGTAGTGTAGCATTCCTGACTAGAGGATACTGGTGAAAGGCACAGCTCAGTCATGCAGAGAAGGAGTAGACATGTGTCATTAATTGGTTAATCTTTCATGCATTCTGGGAATGATACCTCACAGCTCAATGATCCAAAATAGTAATGGACAGTGCTTGTGAGTTAGGCATTGCTCATTTTTTCCTCAAAGTCCATGGAGAAATACTAAATTGATACTACCAATCCTTGACCTGTTAGAAGTCCTGGAGTCATAGGCTAGTAGAGAGGGAGGACAAGTAGTAAGAGAGGTTGGACAAGGATTTCAAGATAGTGGATATAAATGTGTGCTTGAAGGCAGAGAGAAATGATCAATTGGAGAGAGTGGTAGGAGAAAGTGATTGTTAAAGATAAGGGAAAGACGGGGAATGTCACAGGGAGCTGTGGATGGCATCAAACACAAAGAAGTTGGGAACAAGAGGACAGGTTGAAGAGCTATAGGCAGAAAATGGTAGGCAACCCTTGAACTGCAATCAGGGGTGAAGACAATGTTTGTTGTACCATGTTGTGACAGGGCCCCGCAACCCCGCACTAAAACCCCCGTGGCAAAAGCCCTATTTGGGTGGCGGGGGAGCGCGCACCGGCATTGTGCCGGGTATACTCGTGCCGCAGACCAGCTGACCGCCTCAGGGG